ACATCCCAGCTTCTCGCTCTGAAATTCTTCACGCTTCGCGCATCCCCACCAGCCCATTCCAGAACAGCTACTTGTGCGAAGCATGCCGGCAGTCGTGGCTTTCGGGCGCACCTCCTTCTGCCCACGCATATATCCTTCTACTTCTCTGGGTCTTTCGCTCTGGGAGCCTCTTGGAGGCATCTTGGGGGTATCCAGGGACCTTGGGGATATTTGGGAGGTCTCTGGGCCCTTTTGGGTTCCCCTGGTGCCTCTCGGGGCTCCCTTGGGGCTCTCTTGGGGCGTTGTTGGGGCCCTCTTTGGGCTCTTTGGGGGGGTCTGGAAGGTCTCTTGGGGCCATCTTGGAGGCGATCGATCAAAACAGGGACGAGCACTTATCTCGCCCCCCCCGTCGGGTCCCGAAACCCTGTGAAATTACTGCATGCGGCGCCTTTTCGGCTGCCCATCTTGGACGCTCTAACCCCTCGCGGCCCCCCCTCTCCAGGTCCACGGGGAGGGGGTAGGGGGAGGGGTAAACACCTCCCCGAAGGGGAAGAAGGGGGGTTGAGGACAGAGAGGGCTCCCTAAACCACTCACGCCCAAAGGGCTGGTGGGATTCTGGGCCTCTGCCGCTCGAGACACAGCTCTACAGCCTGCAAAGAGGTCGGCAATGTACTGGCCTTTGCAAAGACGGCAGCGACGGAGTCGGCCCCCAGAGCTCACTTTCGCCACATCTGCGCTCCGTGGGGCCGGTCGGTCAGGATGAGCACCAGATGCCTCTCCGCCTCTTCGCACGTCGCGCGCAGCCGGGGGCCTGCTTTGGCGTAGTCGCTCCCGAGCCTGCTGCTGTGCTCGTACCAGTGCATTGGCTTGGCCTGCGTCCACTCCCCCCGTCGCTGCACTGAGGTCAGGTTGCGCCAGCCCTTTGCCAGATCGATGCTGGCGCCTGAGTGCCTCATCTGGTACAGCGTCACGGGCGCTACCCCGACCGAGGTCCTCCGCCGCGTTCTCGAGGAGCACCGCTGCATCGGGGTCGTCGAAGTTCCACAGGGGCTGCTTCGACGTCGCCGAGGACAGCCGCCCGAAGACGGCGCCCAAGCCCTGGAGGTGCGGGGAGTCCAGGGGGCAGCCCTCGTCGAAGTGCCCCGCTTGCTGGGCTTCTTCTGCTCCCGCGGGTGAGTCAGCAGCGCCCAGTGCCTGCTGACACCGGGCGTCGGTGGCACCAGATCGCACCGCCGGGCGGCCAGCGGCGTCGAGGGCCGCGCAGAGATCGAGACGCCCACCATCGAGAAGACAGGCGCAGGTGGCCTCCCGCCGCTGGCCTCCAGGCAAGCCCACACCAGACAGACGCCTAACCTCCGTTTTGGCTGCTGTGCGCCGTGCTCCACGAAATACTCCTCCTCCTCCTCCTCCTTCTCTCCTCCTCCTCCTCCTCCTCCTCCTCCTCCTCCTCCTCCTCCTCCTCCGCCTTCTTCCCAGACGCGGGAGGTGTTTGGCCCATTTCGGCCTCAGGGGACCCTCGCTGGGCCTCGGGACCGTGAGAAAACGACTCGGGACGACGAACTGGTCCCGGGGAAGGGGGGTGGGGACTTCCAGGGATCCCGCCTTGGAAAAATCAGGGCGTCGCATGTCTGGGAAGGTCTCAAGGACCGCCCCTCGGCGCAGCCAGCGTGCACGTCCTGCAGCCGTAACCCTGGTGTCGCCGCCCTGGTGTGGTTTTGTTGTTGTTGTTGTTGTTGTTGTTGGTGGTGGTGGTGGTGTTGGTGGTGTTGGTATTGGTGTTGGTGTTGGTGTTGGTGTTGGTGTTGGTGTTGTTGTTGTTGATGTTGTTGTTGTTGTTGTTGTTGTTGTTGTTGCTGTTGTTGTTGCTGTTGAATTCTAATTTCTGAAGAATAATTATTGTTCATCCCCCCACCGGTGCATACTGTTGTTTCTCAATCAAAGTGTGTCCCTCGACGCTCGCACCCTGTTTTTTGACAGGGAAAGTCTTCCTGCTCAAACTGGGCCCCTGGCCCCGGGTTACAACAACAACGGCTCCCGCCTGAAACTTCCTTACAATTGATGCAGGACCCCCGCTCCCGCCCGAGACCTCCTCGCATTTTATTCAGAAATTGCGCTCTCGCTTGGGACTTCCTTACAATTTATTCCGGAGTCGCTCTCCTGGAGCTCTGGAGTCGCGCTCTCGCTGGAGACTTGCTTGCAACTTACTGAAGAATAGCCTTGCGTTGGAATTTCTTGCAATTTGCCCAAGCGCCGCGCTCCCGACACCCAGGCACCCAGGAGTCGCGCCCGTTGTGGCCCCATGTCCATGCCCTTCGTGGCCCCGATGTCGCCATTTGTGTGCCCCTCATTGTCCTACGTGGCCCAGTTGCTACCCTCTTTGGCCCCACAGTTGCCTTCTGTGGCCCCGCATTATCTGCACTTCGTGGTCCCCGCTCGTTCGCACTCTTTCGTGGCCCCATACGCATTCCCTTCGTGTCCCCGCTGTCGCCCTTCGTGACCTACTTCGTGCCCTTCGTGGCCCTGCTGTCGTTCTCTCTCGCTCTCGCTTTCGCTCGTCGTCGCCGTCGTCTTCGTCGTCGTCGTCGTCGTGGTCGGTCCCCTGTCCGTCCCTCTTGGGGTCGGGTCGACGGTCCGCGGCCGCCCCGCCGATCAGCGCTGCCGCTGGCCAGGCCGACGGTCCGCGGCCGCCCTGCCGCTTGCCGGGGCCCGGCCTGCAGGGAAGAAAGGTATACCCCCCAAAAGGGGTTCGATCGAAGACGAAGAGGGCGGGTATCGAGGGTTTGGGAAATACCCGTTTTGGACACTCGAGCATAGAAGGGCGAACAATCTTAAAATGATTGTTGTTGTTGGTGTTGTTGTTGTTGTTGCTGTTGCTGTTGCTGTTGCTGTTGCTGTTGCTGTTGCTGTTGCTGTTGCTGCTGTTGCTGTTGTTTCTGTTGTTGCTGTTGTTGCTGTTGTTGCTGGTGTTGCTGTTGTTGCTGTTGGAGCTGTGCTTGTTTTGTGCTTTTGTTCCCCTCCAGCAATGCACCACAGCCAAGCATCGGACAGCTCAGGACGTCGCACGGCCGGGAGGAGGCTCCCGGGCGGGGGCTCGATGCCCGGGGCGTCGGGGGCGCGCTCCCGCAGAGGGGCAGGCGGGCGGCCCCCGGGAGCGAGGGCGCAGCTCTTCCCGGGGTGGGGGCGCGCGAGTCGCGCGGCGGGCCGGAGGTCGGCACGAACGGAGTGGGCACGGAAGGAGTCGACTAGACGCAAGAGCGACCTTTCGCCAGAGTGACCTTTGGTGCGGGCACAGATGGGTCCCCAGGTGGCGGAAAACGAAGCAGGAACAGCGGCTTGCGCGCCTCAGTTTGGTCCCCCCGCGGCCCCCCAAAAGCCGCGCACCAAAGGTCACTCTTACCCAGGGTCACTCTTGCGTGTAGTCGAAGGAGTGGGTGCGGTGCCCACCAGCCAAAAGACGTTCTGAGAACCTCTTGTGGTCTGCACGAGATGTTCTTGGAACATGTCTGGCCGGGACTGCCTTGTTTTTTGTCACATCAGGCTCACGGTCTAAGAACATTGTTTTTGTTATTGGAACCCTTGTTCCGCACGAGCGAAATGGGCACGGAAAGAATGGGCACGATGCCCAGCAGCAGTTCCGGTGCATTTTGAGCAGGGCTCGCTATCCACTCCGTCGCGGCCCGTGTCCATCCGAGACAGAAGGCCGCCTGCCCAGCAGCGGCCGCTGGGCGTCCAAAGCAGGGGGAGCGCGGCTCTGCCGTGCACGCGAGAGTAGGTCGCAGGCGATCGCAGACGTGGATCAGTGGGGCGTGGATCCCAGACCCCCTAGGCGATGAAAAGATCATGACAGGAGGTGTTTCGCTAGTTTTCGACCTTTGGGGGCCCTTACCGCCCCTCGGGATCGTCAAAAGACGACTCGGGATGAAACACCGGGCAAGGCGTAGGTCGAGACCTCCAGGGGCTGACGCAATGAGAAAACCGTGACGTCGGGGGCGTGGATTAGCGACGGGTCCCGCTTCCATGGGAAGTCGCGGATTCCCGCCGCCGAGCGACGCGGCACCGGCCGCATGTTGGGGAGGGCACCTCCCCCGATTCATCGATTCATAGATTTGGCAACCGCGCGCCAGATCCATGGATCGCTAGTCCATGTCAGCGCGCCCCCGACCCTCCTGGCCCTGGAACTATCGCACATCGACAGAGTGTTGCACCACTATTGCCGCGCCGTGTGAGGTATGTTGCATCTACGTGTTGAAAACATGTTTAGCACATGTTTTAGACATCAGGAAATCATTTGGCAGCATGCTTCCTCTCTATTGATCGTCCTCCTCACCTGTTACGTGTTCGAGCATGGACTTCCTGTTGCCCACATCGCGCCTCCACCTTAGTATCCGGCACGTGGCGAAGAGAGCCGATCGCCCCCCCCCCTCGGGGCTCTCGCCAGAACGTTGCGCCACCGAGCTGCTTCGATGAACCCGGACCGCAGCCACTCTGAAGATTCGGGGGAGGAGGGTCGGAGGTTGACAGACCTCCTACCCTGACACGTCGATTCAGGAATTGGCCGCTTTCGGTTCGCGAGAGGGCGTCGCGGCCGTCACTTTTGCGGGTCAACGTCCGTCGGTTTCGGTCCCAGGCCGTTTTCACTTATGGGAGGTGTGCTAAAGAAGGTTTGCCCACCGCCGAAAGATTTGGGGGAAGGGGGGGGGGCGGAAGCGAGCATCCAGTGCAAAGGTGGCGTGCATTCTCGAAGACACCAGGTGGTGCAACATTTTGGCGTCTTGCCGATGTACCGTAGTGAGCGGCTTCCGAGACCTCGTTGGGCGAGAGGCCCAAGCGCGTCTGCAGGCTGGCCTCTGCAGCGAGTCACAGAGGCAGGAGGGGGCAGGCAGGGCGCGGTCGCGGGCGCGGTGCGCCCGCAGGACGGCTTCGAGGTGTTCTACGGGGTGGAGCAGGAGACCAAGCCCTGTGCCAGTGGCAGCGTGGAGGGCGACGGCCGGGACGGCTACGATATGTTCTACGGGAAGCAGGCCAGCATAGCATGGATGGGGCCCGGTGGTCAGAGGACGCCAAGGGCTCCGGTCAATCATTGGGGGGGGGGGGCGTGTGTTTTCCGGCCAAGATGAAATTGTGGCTATTCGGTGAGCTCCGAGGGGCCAGTGGAATGGCCGCGGGGCCGTCGAAACGTGACCCAACAGTCACATTGGCACGGAGACCATGAACACAAACGCTGCATGCTGAGACACGTGGTCGGCACGGTACGGCAACTTTCCGAAAACCAGGCACGGCACGGCAATCGCTCGCATTAATAACCAGGCACGGCACGGCACCATTTTCCTATTCTGCAGACCAGGCACGGCACCAAGCGCTTTGCAGTCTGAAGACCGGGCACGGCGCGTCACAGCAGTTGTTCCGCATTGTATCGGAACACACGGCACGGCGCGTCACGGATCTCTTCCGCACTCTGAAATCCAGGCACGTCACGGCATAGCAGGGCTGGACCTAAACAGTGTTTTGGCGATTTTGGGGGCCGTTTTCGTTTCGGCTTCGTTTAGGCGCATCGAAGACACAACGAGGGAAACGAAAGCATAACGAAAGCGAAGAACACCATTTAGGTTCAGCCCTGCGGCATGGCAGTTGCTCCGAAGTGGGAAGGCCAGGCGCGGCACTACCTGGCACGGCATCCTCCCCCGCGCTCTGCCAGCGAAGCACGGCGCGGCGCGCCACGGCAGCCCCTTCGCATGCCAGAATCTGGCACGCCACGGCGCGGCAGCGGATCCCGCACTGCGGCACGCCACGGCGCGGCACGGCACGCGGGCGCCACAGGCACTACTCCTCCTCCTTCTCCTCCTCCTCCTCCTCCTCCTCCTCCTCCTCCTCCATCTCCTCCTCTTCCTCCTCCTCCTCCTCCTCCTCCTCCTCCTCCTCCTCCTCCTCCTAGGAGAAAACAGCATCTCCTCGCGTACAGTGGGGGCCCACGCCAAGAAACACCCCGCTCGCCTCGAGGGTGCCCTGGGTTTCTTGGGTTCCGATGGCTTTGCTATGGAGAGCGTGCCGCTCCCGCACCAGAAATCTATGGACGTCCAGGGGTCTCAGGGTGGGATTTCGTGTGGAAGGTGCCTTGTGGTCGGGCCCCTACTGTATTGTGCTTTATTGCTGTTCGAAAACGAGAATCACCCTCTCAAAACAATTCGGAGCCCCTGCAGCCTCGACAAAAAATGCTGTGTGCATTGCCCCGGCTGGGCGGGCTCCTGCTATGTACGCCCGGATTGGCACCCGGACCAGATCGGAGGCTTTAAGTCGGGCGTGCCCCTCACAGGAGGAATAGTCAAAAATAGTCAAAAAATAGTAATGGGACGATTCTTTTTTTTTTTACCATTTGGGGGTCTTTTAAATATTTTTTAGGTTTTCGCCGTAAATCTGCCTGTAGGGGGGCATGCCCGACCTAAAGGTAGTCAGCCTGGCCTTCCAGGACCTACGCGGCCCATTCATGACCAGGAGATCCGAGCTCCAGATCGTGCGCCTCGGAGCAGCAGACGGCATTTCGAGCGCCGCGCGCGCGCGCGACCTGCCCATCGGCATTGCAGGAGTGCGCGCTGTCAAGCACGTCCCGAGCAGAGTGTGCATCCAGGAGGTCCTCGCGGATTTTGGCAGGAGCTGGTGATGGTCCACCACCGATGTCGGTAGGCGACCGGGCTCCCAGGGTTCCTTTTTCCCAATGTTCCCAGCTGTGGGTTCGTGGGCTTGCTCCTCCTCCTCTTCCTCCTCCTCCTCCTCCTCCTCGTCCCTCCTCCTCCTCCTCCTCCCTCCTCCTCCTCCTCCTCCTCCGCCTCCCTCGGGTTCGTGGGTTTGCTCGCGAACGATCCGGCAACATTTCGCCGCTGGTGTCCTCCGCTGGCGGCGCTCGTGGAGTACGTACAGTATTGTGCTCTCGGTTGCGGCCAAGTTTTTGTTGCCTCCGTGGGTACCCATCATGGTTCTGAGCGCAGGGTAAGCTGAAGGGTAGAGGGTCGAGAACACAGCGCAGACAGCAGAAAGAGAGCACGGAGTACAGCATAGCGTCGAGAGCGAATAGAAAATAACAGCGAGAATAAAGCAGAGATGCAAACTAGAGAGTATGGAGTACAGGACACAGCGCAAGAAGCATAAAGCAGGAAGAAAGAGCATCGACCAGAGAGCAAAGAGTAAAGAGGCGAAATGCTTAAGTTGAGGGTTCACATTAGAGAGTGAAGGCTAGAGGGTGGATGGGAAGAGCACGCGGGGAGGAGATTCTACAGAGTAGGGATCAGAGAGCATAGAGTCAAAGTAAAGAGTAGAGAGCACAGAGAGCGCAGCACAGAGTCCACAACACTTAGAGCACCGGGAGAGGAGAGCAGAGAGCAGTGAGTACAGGCGGGAGGGTAGAGAGCACAGAGCGGAGAGTACAGAGCAGAGAGTAATAGAGCCATCGCTTGGTTGCTCAGGTATACCACCCGCGGGCTGCGTTTACAGGATTTCTGTGGAGGACGGAGTGGCGACTTCACATGTGAACATATAAGCTTCCGAGGGTGGCCCGTCCTTGGTGGCCCGGACATCGGACCACCAGGAGTCGAGTTCTGGGGTGCCTTCGCGCTTCAGAGTGCAATCCCCATGGGATCTCGACACATCGGAACTGCAGAAACGGTGCTCAGAGAGAGGGGGGGGAGAAAGTGATAGAGAGAGAGAGATCCATATATATATATATATGTGTGTATGTATGTATGTCTGTATGCATGTATGTATGTAGGTAGGTAGGTAGGTAGGTATGTAGGTAGGTAGGTAGGTAGGTCGGTAGGTAGATAGGCATGTGTATGTACATAAAAAGCGACTGCATTTGCGCTTCGCGCCATGCGTTTTGTTCCGGACCCTCCCCGGCACAAAAAAAACCATCGCTTGCTTCAGCGGGGGGGACCTCGAGAATTGGACGGGCGACCGGCTCATTTTTCTTGTATTCCTGGTGCCTGCTGATACCGCGTTCGCCCGATGCGCTTGCACGCTTGTGCGCAGGAGTGGGGAAGGAATTATGATTTTGTCACGCGGGAAGGTCCTTTGAAGTAAGAAGCGCTCCCATGACACGCCTAAGAAACCGCAGCAGCTCCGAACAATTTGATGTATGGTAGCTTCCTGAATACTTGGAAGGCTCCATGCACTCAGGAAATTTCTGGTCGTCGAATTTCGAATCTAGATCCGTTGCCTGTCTCTCTCGATCGAGGAACTTAAACCTCGAGCCTCAAGCGTGGAACCAAGATCGTCAGGTCAGCTCGATGTACTTCGTAGGAAGACGCCGTCTGGGCGTTTTTGGTGCTCTTTTGGGCCGTCCTAGGGGCCCTCTTGGGCCGTCCCGGGGCCTTCTTGGGCAATCTTGGGGAGCTGGGCCCCCCCGGAGGCTTTCTGAAGCCATCTAGGGCCTTCTTGGGGGCCTCCAGCGGCCTTCTTGGGGGTTCCCCATTGCTTTCGTGGGTCTTTCTTGCAAGCCTTCTGGGGGCATCTTGGGCTTCTTGCGTGCAACCCCCGGGGCTTTCTGGGGCAGTCTTGGGGCCCTCTAGGGCCATATTCAAACCTTCTGGGGGGCCCCTTGGGGCGATATCGGGGGCTCATCGGGCTGTCCTGGGCGCTGCGAAATCCCAGACAGCAGATTTGTTAAGCTTATACATTTCCCCGAGGGAATGGGACGACGTTTGCTTGTTCGGGGCTCTCTTAACAGCCTCTTGGGGCGTCTTGGGGGGGGGATTCTTGGGCCGTCTTCAGACCATCGAGGTTTTTCTTGGAGCGCTCTTGTGCTGGCTTGGGTCTCTCTTGCGCCTCTCTTGAGTCTGCTCGCATGGCCCGGCAGAACGCCCTGGGAGGCCCGGGAGGGCCAGCGGACCTTTTCCAAGGGCGCCCAGGGGGCCGCCGAGACGTCCGAGAGGGCGTCCAGGGCGTCCCTGGGGGGGGGTCCAGTTTTGGGGGGGGGTCCGGGCACTACAAATAGGAGAGACAGAAACACAACAAGAGAGAGAGAGAGAGAGAGATACAGAGAGAGAAGTGAGGTTCCAGGCCAAATGGGGAGGGGGGGGGGGGCAGGCCCACTCCCCCGGGGCATCCATGGCCCCAGGGCCCCCCAGGAGCACCCCAACAGCCTTCCCAGCAGTGCTCACGACGGCCTCCAATCAGCTCAAGACGACTCGAGACACCTCCGAGACCGCCCAAGACGGCCCCGAGTGCCCCCACGACGGCCCGTGAGTGCTGCAAGAATGTTCCCAAGAGTGCCCCAGCAGGCAAAATGTGTTACTTTCGTTCGGGCAGCGGATCTGATCAGAACATGCGCTTGCACGAGCTCAGCGTCGAGGACGACCCAAGAGGCCTCAAAGATCCTCCCAAAACGGCCAAAGAGGCCCCAAGATAGCCCTAAGACGGCCCAAGGGGCACCCCAAAAAAGGAACTCCACCTGACATGTCGAGCTCTCCGCCCAAAGAAGACCCACGAGACCGGAAGCAGACCCCCGAGACCGGAAGCTCTCAAGGCGGCCCTTGAGGGTTCCAACAGAGTAAGCAATCCCTGGGTGGGTCCCTGGCCGATTGAAAATTGAAATATTAAATCGGCGACTCCAATATTTGAGTTAAAAACCTCGGAACTGGATTCGGCCGCCGCCACTTCAATATTGGAGTTGGAAGCCCAAATTCTGATTCCAGAATTGAAATATTGAGATATCGAAATTTAAATTTCAATATTGAGTTTTAGCTCAATATTGGGTTTCAAACTCACTATTGAGGTTTTAACGCCAATATTGAATTTACGAGGCCGTAGGCCGGGCCAGAGGAGAAAAGGGAAAAGCGCGCAGTTCCCAAGGGAGAGACAACGGACAGAGTGGGGGAGGGGGAGGAGGTGGGGGAGGAGGAGGAGGAGGCCGTAGCATGAAAAGCACGCCCCGCCCAAGACAGTCACCCGAGGCGTTTGGTGACTCTTTTGGGCCCGCCCGCCCTGAACAGTCACCAAGAGCCTTGGGTGATTGTTTGGGCGGGGCGGAGCCCCG